TCTAGGCCAAATTGGCTTCTTATGGATAGTGTTCTAATATATTTTAGTGGTTGTATTGGTATAGGGGAGAAGCAGCCCATGAAATGGGCAGTGAGGTTGAGGGTGGCTTTGTATTTGGCACAAGCTCTGGAGTACTACAGTAGTCGAGGACGGGCATTGTACCATGATCTTAATGCTTACAGAGTCTTGTTTGATAAGGTAATAAATTTCTAGATTTAACTAATCTGATGCCCTAGGGAATCAGGGCTATTTAGAATTAGATATATGTTTAGTGTTGACTAATAATCCAGTTGTGTTTCTATTTTTGAATTGTTTCGGCATGTTAAATCACGGAATTGGTCTTGTTGTATTGTTGTTGTTTTTAATTCTTCCTTTAGGATATGTTAGTTTTGCTACTTCATACCTTTATTGTGCTTATATTCATCTAAAGCCGCCGAACTATATCTGTAAGATCTTTGTGACCAGACTTATGAGATTACCCTAAGAAAGGGAGCAAAAACTGTGAATTCTTTGCATCTGTAAGTTCTTGCCTTTTAATGTAGTTTGGAGATATATTGTACATGTCAACTCACAATTATTTGACTCTATCCTTACTTTTCTTAGGAAGTAATATGTGCAAAGCTTTAATGTGTTTAATTTTCTAAAGGACACCGTTTGCAGGGTTCTTGATTTAGGTGGTTCAGATGCTTTTGCTGCCAAAAGAAGGTTTGTGAAGCTATAAGATTCTTGCTTTCTTATCTGTTATGATATTTGAAAATTGAGATTAAATTGCTTGTATTTTTCTCCTACAGGAAAATCCAAGGAGATGAAGAAGATGGCAATCATGATAAATCGAAAAGATCTCAAGTGGTAAGCTAATTTTTTATGATGATATATCTTGAATTTTAATGTCTAATAATATGATTTGCTTCCCATTCAAAATTTGTTGCAAAAATATTTAATTCCAGTAGTTTTTATTCTTCAATTTGACACCGCTATCTATTTCTTATCTTCTATTTGTAACTTTTCATTTGAAGTTTCTACTAAAGAAAAGAATATTCGACATTATTCATTCAAGTTCTTGAATTGTAGAAATGAATAAAAAACTCTGTAGCAATACA